CAGTTCTTCTATACGGATCAGAAACTTGAAGGGTCACAAAGAATATTTCCAACAGCCTGCTGCAGACCTTTATTAACAACTGTCTTCTCTCTATACTGAAGATCAGATGGCCGGACCGGAAAGAATCACCAACAAGGAACTATGGGAACAAACAAAACAAGAACCAATCACCAACCAACAAATATGCAGGAGATAGTGGAGAAGGATCAGACACTCGCTGAGGAGACCACTGGGTGACATCGCGCGTCAAGCCCTCGAGTGGAACGTCCAAGGGTGACATGGAGGAGATCGTGTGAAGAGGAGTTGAAAGAGTATGGCCGAACATGGATGCAGGTGAAAAGTACAGCAGAAGACAGAAGCAAGTGGAGACGTGTAATTGAAGCCCTATGTTCCACTAGGAACCCAAGAGAGCAATAATAATAATAAATAACTGGTGAATACCCCAGTCATGCATCTCATACTTTCAAAAACACATCAGAGCTTTATTTTACTAGTTGTGACAGAAAATTAAACACTTTAAACAGAATTTTAATGATATTTAAAAAGCCTTTTATACGAAATAAATGATGCTTTCACACAGGTATATAGTTGCTGGGTTAGCATTTGCTAGTCTCACGAACTACTGTTTCTTATGAATTCTTCTTCGTGTTTTTTTTAAATACTAATGAAAGTACATAATTCTGTATTCTTCTGCTACATATGCATCACATCAGAAGTTTGTTTCTTCTTAAGGAGATTAGTTCGTAACACAACCTCAGTGATATTTAAGTTAAACAGAATTTAAAGACAGGCTTGTTTCACTGTAGTATAACACTGAAATAAATAAGCCAATATGATTAACGATCACTGCACAACTACATAACATCAAACTTTTCAAATGAATCTATGCCTGTAGAAAGAAAATATGACCATTCTCTCATTTGTTCAATTATTCGATTGTATCTTGTAGACTTTATTCCTTTTTTATGTTATTTAACCACCCAAGCTGTTTTTCAAGAGTTAATTTGTAAGCTTTTGATTCGTCTCGTGTTTCATCATGGATTGATGTCAGTTAGAGAACCATTGAAAGCCATGGATTACTACTGGATAGCTGTTACATCCTAGTTTTGCACTCTTGTGCAGTACGCGAACTTGAAGAAGTTAGAACTTATAAATAATTGAATTCCGGTCCAAATGGTTGAGTAGTTAGCGTATTTGGCTTCGTAACTTGAATTCCTTGGGTTCGATCCCCGAAAGGGGGTGGATGCGTACTGATGAAGAGCCTCAAACTAGAGCGGTACAGTTTTGCAGTCCTCTCTGACTCTCAGTGGTTCTCTAAATCACATCAATTCGTGGTCCAACTTGGAACAAATCAAATCTCTATAGACTAAATCTTGAAAATCAGGCTAATGCTCACCAGCACTGGCTGCAGGATGAAGTTGCCTGTAATTTTACTAGTGAAAAGTCTTGACCAGTGGGGTCCACCAGATAGGTGGTGATGGCAGATATTGGCTGACGGTCACATTAAAATCTCCAACTGACACAAGTCAGAATGGTCGACGAGCTTGGGTTAAAGGTTCTGGGCTCGACCCCCGGTGGGATAGTAGTTGTTAGTTTTATTTTATTTTTTCCCTCCTCACAAATCTAGGGTAGTCTTTGTTTCTCGCAGCTTTAACCTACTGTTGTTATTATATATTTTTGATATAAATATAATTTCACACACTTTAAAAATCGATGAGAACTTTGTCAGACAAAATGATGTCGTTTTATTTTACACGCCTAGACTTTCAATTTGACAATCTTTAAATGCTTTTGTCGATTATTTTTGATTTCACGTTCAGTGTTTTGTCTTCTGACTACATAGCTGACTCAGTAAGCAATAAGTAATAAGAAGTAAATATAATATTTGTTTAAATTTGTAAACGAAGATAACCTCAAGGTCACGTGATATATTTTTTACCAGCTGGATGATCAATAAACGCATGTAGCACGTTTTAAACATAAACCATTTTTATTTATTGTGTAAAACCTTGAATGTTGATAATTTGGAGACAAAATCAACGCTTGTTTTATAAAACTGAAATGTGAATAAAATGTTACAGCACACAATTGCCTTAACAACATTAGTGATATCAAAATTGCTATAATTACTGCAAATATTATTGTTAACATTCTAATGGGATTCATGATAACAACGATAAAAACAAGTAGTATAAACCTACAAGGCATTAGTATTTAATTGAAACAATAAAGCGAAGCAAACTATTAGACGTTAGATTGAATTGTTGAACATTATGCCTCAGTCTAAATCAGAGATTGATATATTAAATATTAAAGTGAAAATACGCCGGAAACGACGATATTCACTTCCATCCTCGGTGAGTTGTTCGATTTTTCTGAAGCCTTATTGTAATCTGTTAACCAGGCGATAAGCTTACTTCGTTGTACAGTGTCAGTAAAGATTAGTACGGAACTGCTACCCAGTGTGTTTATAAAAGGTGAAGTTGTTAAATGCCCTAAATACTTCATGAGACCCGAAAATACCATCATTTCTAAGTTGCCTATAATATCTCAATCAAAGATATCCAACTGTGACACATCTAAGGTATCCGAAGGCTGAATAAGAATCCAGTCTACTGCACAACAGTTGACGCTGTTCTCACATAACATCGAAAGTAGAGGATTTGACTGTTGTTCGCTGCTTAGCACTTCACAATTAAGTAGTGTTGGGATTGTCCACAGATTCCTGGATGACCTAGACAAATATACTTGATCCAAAGAGAGATTGAGAAATAGTTTCACTTCACAGTAGCACTTACAGATCGGATTTATGTAGTTTGGTTGATCGAGTACATGAGCCGAACAAAAAAAGATTATTGGAACCCTTAAGGTATACGGTTTAATAAACACTGTGTATCCAGATTTCTTTATTTTATTCCTTTATGTTCCCATTGGAACAAATGGTTTCAAGATAGAGGCTTTAAATTTCGGTAAGAGGGCTGTTTATTTTTACGGGATGGGGTTGCTAGCCTCATGCCCAACCTTTCCCCTTTACCAGTCTTATTACTGGCTTAGTGAGGTAAAGGAGTGTGTTGAGTGACCGGGGATTGAACCCAGAACCACAAGCGTGGTTGACGAGAATTCTACCTCTGTGCCACCGATGCACACCTTCCTAACTCCTCTTCATCAACATTGTAATATTTTATTTCTTAATGTGATTTATACTATTCCTTTTTGCTTTATGAAGTTCAATGACTCAAAGTTATACTATTTTCTTCCTTCGTATTATATTTTACTTGATGTGGTAATATGTACTGTTATGAAGTAATCTCCGACAGATTCTAGAACAAAGACACACCTTTCGGCGTCCAACAATTGCCATATTTCTTGACTTTGAAGGCGGCCTTCGACTCCGTGGGTCGAAAGGTACTATGGCAATGTTTGACTGTGAAGGGAGTGCCAAGAAACTACACTGCACTAATCAAGGCACTCTATTCAAACTCACGTAGTCGTGTAAGAGCTTATGGGGAATTGTCATCTGAATTGATAACAACCAGTGGTGCCCGACAGGGATGTCCACTTTCCCAATTTCTGTTTAACTTCATCATAGATATGCTGACGGAAGTATCCTTAACTGAACTTAACGACTTAGGAATCGACTTGTTACCAGGGAATAGTCCTATGGACTTAGAATATGCAGATGACATAGTCCTGTTAGGGGAGGATGCTGACAAAATGCAGAGTCTTCTGAACACCTTGAGCAGCAATCTTCGTATGTTTGGCATGCGATTCGCTCCTGCAAAATGTAAGATGCTGCTACAGGACTGGACTACGTCAACTCCTAGCTCAGTGATAGGGAGTGAAGTGATAGAACATGTTGACCACTTCACCTATTTGGGAAGTTGTATCAGCACCAACGGACTGATTGGCGATGAAATCTCAGCACGGATCCAAAAAGCTCGAGTTGCTTTCGCTGACTTACACCATCTCTGGCGTAGGCGTGACATCCGGCTATCAACCAAGGGACGTGTGTACTGCTCAGCAGTTCGTTCCGTCCTTCTCTATGGCTCTGAAACATGGCCAATACGAGTTGAAGACATGAAAAGGTTGACTGCTTTCGATCATAGATGTCTGCGATCTCTTTCTCACGTCAGGTGGTTTAATAAGGTAAGTAATGTTGACGTTAGGCGTAGAGTGTTGGGCAAAGAGGGGAAGTCAATCGACGAGGCTATAAAGTTACATAGATTGAGATGGCTAGGTCACGTGGTGCGCATGCCTAACCATCGCCTCCCCCGACGGGCCTTACTAGCTGATATAGATAGGTGCAGGTTGGAGAAGAGTAAGTGGTGGCCAAACAAAAACATGGCATCAATCCATGAAATCCTTGACAGTTAAACTGAGTCAGGTAGGGAGATGCAGACTCCCGGGTTGGGGCCCTCGGGACTCTAGGTGATATGGCTCAAAATCGTTGTCAGTGGTGCAGATGAATTCAGTCTCTGTAATCTTTCACATTTCTTTCTTCCATTACCCATTCTGTTTCGCTCTTATACCTGTCAAACTCTATTAATTCTCTTCACTCATCTTCCTGTCTACCTTTGTACGCTGTTTGGAACGTGGCAACTCGAACTTGCTGCACTTCAGTGCCAAGTTCCATGTTAAATTCAGATAGACAGAGACAGAAGTAATCTCCAGTCTCGCATGTTATTGTTGTGGATACCACCTTTCTTTTTGATACCAACAGTTTACTGCTCTTACTACTACTAGCAGGGGTGTTCCAATGCTTCATGTTTATTACACTTTCGTTTTACAAGCTTAGGAATCAAAAATAGTTCGTGTAACAGTAATCACTCAGAATGTATATATATATATATATATATATATATATATATATATATATGAGTTTAATAACCTTGTATAAATATTTTATTTAAGTTGACCTTAAGTCTTCAACAGTACAAAAGAATAATAAGAAAATCTCTCAATAAATTCTTTTGCTTTTCTTTCTTTTTCTTGGTTATCAGAAAGAAAAAACTAAGGGTCCACCTGCAGCAAATACAGCCTCTGATTCATCTGCCATCCATTCACCCCAAAGTCATGAAGGTGTAGGTCAGACGGGTTCAAGTTCATCTGTACAGTCTAGTAGTGACAGAAGGTTTAATGACTCACCTTATTCAGGTAGCTTACAAAAATCACATGAATTTGATGATCATATCAATTCTGAAGTCATCAGTACTCAGAGAGATGATGCCTGTAGTAATATGGGTTTAGTGCATAATAAAAAAGACAGTGGGGAGACAACTCATCGAGCATTTCCTACACAGCAAAAGAACATTGAAAAAGTGGACTCTCTCTCCCCTGAAAATATTGTTGTCCATTCACCACAAAATGTTCAAAGTTCATTATACGCTGATAGTCTCCCACACACTCATGAACCTTTGAATTTATCGCCTCATCAAAGTGAATCAAAGTTAGTCTCATCTAATTTACCATCTGAATCAATTACCAACGATCCTTTATCTGTTACAGTTACAAAACACTCTCCCACGCTATCAGCAGATGATGCATCAAAGTCTGAATCCCATTTAGCACAAACTGTAAATCCTGACACACTTTTATGCATGACTTCAAAGAATGAGATACTCTCACATTCTGATACACATTTAGTGGAACAGGAGCATGGCAAAGTATCAGAGACCTCATTAGATAACAGTGGTATCAATGGCACCATCACTGCAGGAAGAAGTGAGCCACTGCCTGTGAATACTGAAACAATAGATGTGAATGATAAACCTCAATTAGACGTATCTAATGATGATTTGAACACAGCGAAAGTAGACAGTACTGTTGATAAGGATATCGCTGTTAAATCGCTGACTAATCTGATTGAATCTCTTGATAATATAGATACTTGTAAGAAATATCGTGAACAAAAGGCAAGCAATTTTTACTCTGGTGAGAATGAAACTATGGGATTCCCTGAAAAGGATATGAAAAGTGATCAACTTATGTCTGGCAGCAGTGTTGATTATCAAGCTGGTGGATTACGTAGTAGAATTGGTGTATCGCCTTCTAGCAATCCTAGTCTCAGTGAATATACATCCTCAATTTATTCAATAAATAGAAGACGACCATCCCTTGTACCACATGATGCTGCAACTATTTGTGCTATCGGTGTAGCAATTGCATTATTTGTAGTTGTTGTACGTCGGCTAGCAATAATGTTTGAAGACAGTTAGACGAGAGCAAAAAAATCCCCGTTATCTTAGATGAAATACCATTCTTTCCCCTAAAGCCAACAGACAATTAAATATCTCCAGTTGAATAATATACACCCACTGGTGTGTAAACAAAAATCAGATAATTTACAAATTCAAGCCAAAATCTAATATCTTTTATTCTCTGCGTTCCTTACCTGTTTGATTGTTTTAACTTCTGCTATTTTAAAAAAAAACCTGAAGATAATTTTAATTGCCTTATCTTAAAGCATCTTTTTAGAGAAAAACAATTGATAGAAACAAAATTATCTCTAAATTAAAGTCATTAGACTGCAAATGATTCAGTCCTTCTTTTTCTACACCCCTATTAGATGAATTCTGTAGATTTATAAGATAATCAGGGAGAGTGTTGGTTCTCGCTTTCTGAAACCTAATGAAGATAGTAGATAAATGTGCAGTTAATTTTTATCTTGTAGCTGGTATTCGATAATCTTATGCCTTTCCACCATTTGACAAACCTTAATTTGCAAACTGGATGTCGACATAAAGAGGCACTTAGAATAAATTGTCTTGTAATGTGCAGCACCCAATCAGTAAACAAGATGAGTTGACACTATTCTATATATTTTATTTCATGTAGAATATAGAATAGCTAGAACGTTAGCAGCTTAATTCACTCCACTAAGTGAATTCTGTTGCCACTTATGATTAAAACAGTTCGATTTTCGTTATTATCTAAATATATCTTCTAAAGGTTCAGTTATGATCTAACTAGTTCATTAACCTTATATACAATCACTGTAATATTGTGTACTTTCGACAGTTCATACGACCGAGTTTAGTTGAGCCAAATGGTCTTAAGAATTCAAACATCTTATTGGCAATAAATTATTCATTTTTCGGAGGATATCCAACAATTTCTGTCCAATTTGTTTCGTCGTGTTCTCTTCATCGATTGATTTTATAAATTTTAATTCATCAGATAGGACGGTTAACAACTTATAATCGCGATTCATTCATACAATTTCTTCACGTTTATGATGTGTTAGAATGGCCTCCCTATTTTCCTCATAAATTCTTCGAGTTCTTTGTCAACAATGACTAGCTGTTCGGTTTGGTGTTCATATACGTATGGCAGATTTCAAGGACTTATCGTCTAGTGCCAACATCTGAAAAGGATTCACATTCTAAATCACCAGTCCTTAACAGCTGTCACAAATTCTTGTTTGAGTCAGCTTCACATAGTAAAATCCGTGGACTTATTGCGGAAAATGAAATAAGGTCCGAGGTGTTAAAGACAATAATATACAATGTAAGAAACTTTTCCTACCGAAACGACTTTCCCGAGTGTATCGTTTTCAAAATACAGAATTTGTACGCATACAGCCAAGGAACATATATTTGAAACGGATACAACCGTATATTCATTTACAATTTAATAAATTAATATACTGTCATAAGTTATTCACCAGTGTCAAGACCGCTGACAATTTCTCCAATATTCTTTTCAAGATCTTCAACTCTCTTTGATAAATCATCTAGTATTTATTCATTAAGGAATTTGTTAGCGAAAAGTTAGAAAACCTTATAAAATAATGCAATGTGACTGTCAGGTAGAGAACCGTGTTTGAGGTGATAACCACCTGCATATGTATCAAATCTATTTCATGCGGGAAGTAGTGCTCGATCTTATAACTAATATGCGACAAATAAATAATACAACTTATGAGATCACAATGGTAGAATTTATTGACTCTAGCGTATTAGTCAATCTGTGACCTCGGATCTACGATTTCGCTATTGGACTTGATCGTATTGATTAACAACAATATTTGTCCGTGCGTTTCATCTTAACATATCAGATAGCATTAGGACTTCGCATTCCAGTCACTTTCCTTTTAAAGATTACGCAAAAATCCATTTTACAATACTATATATTGACAGATGAGCAGTTGTCATAATACATCCAATCATAATTTAAATATTTGCAACCCAAAAAAAACTTTGGCATTGGCAACTATCCTTAGACATCAGAAAATTATAAGTTTACTTCTGCATTCTTATTATCAAAACAGTGCATATTATTACTGCGCGGCAGGTGAACATTCTATACTCTATGTACGTGCATCAAATAAAAATAATACGAAAACATTGATATAAGAAATGAACTTGGGCACTGTCCATCATGTAGAAAATTTATTTGATAATGTCTTACAGTGTTATACAGTAATATTTACTGATTTTATTTCGAGTACGATTTATTGTTCAAAGTCATATAAAGTTACTCACACAATTTTCAAACTTCGTTTATATAATTCCTCATCTCGTGATTTGATCGATAGTAATATTTTCCATATCCCTGGTTCTAGTGATGAGTCGTTCCTTTGTGGGGTCATTTGAACCTTCAAACCCACTTATGGACAAGCCCTGTAGGTTAAAGGAACCTACTGAGCTAATTAGACAAAATGTAATTTCTAAAGTACCTTACAATGACTGAGGTCAACTACATAGGTCAAACTAGTATGTCGGGGGCAGTCAGACTGTCAAAACATAATAATGATTGACGTGGAAATAATTTAGAAAAAAATCAGTAACTCCACTCTATGCATAAACACATATTAGGGTGGGACAGAGTTACAATTCGAGAAATTAATATAGGTAGTTGGATTGATTGATGACTAGATCTTTGTTCAACAAGTCTGCACACAACACATGAAGTAGGAACGACTCCTCACTAGTACCAGAGATAAGGAAAATATTACTACCAATCAAATCACGAAATGAGGAATAACGGAATTATACAAACTAAGTCTGAAAGTTATGTAACTTTATGTGATTTTGAGCAATAAATTGTGCTCGAAATGATATCGGTAAATATTACTGTATAAAACTGTAAGACTTTATCACATATTTTCTCTATAATGGAATAACACGAAAACAAAATATGAAGCTGGTTTAATGATTACAGGACACAGCAACTAAGGAAGATACTTCAGTTAAAGTGTGGACGGAATACGAATACACTTCCAAACTAATGAATTATCAAAACAGATTGAAGCAGTCGCTGTCGTATCACACCCATATGCATACTGACTTGTACAAGTTATTCTTTGAACGTAGAGTTCTGAACTAGACTAAAATATCTCCAACTTAAAGTTAGTCTACTCATCAAACTTCTGTGGGCTACTTGTATAAACATAACACTAATTGAGCTGAATCAATACGTCTAACGATAGGTAACAAATACGATAATCTATATGCTTTAAGTGTGAACTGAAAATTGCTTTTTCTCTATCTCAAAAATTGTTCCAGTTCACTTTTACTTGTCTTACAACGTGTTTACCACTTTACAGTATGTAAAGGGTTAAAAGTTGAACACAGCGGAATACATGACTGTATTTGTAAGCGACTTCGAATACATCTTATATAAATAAAACTGTGATAGGGTATCTTCTACATGCAGTTGTAAAGACTGAGTGCATGTAAACCACTGGCATCACTTGTGACTAAAATTATTGTCACCAGTTAACAAAAGTTGTTGGATTTTATCGAACTGGTCTAAAACACATTACAGGTTCAATACTGTGTGGAAATACAGAGATCTTTGAGACGAGAAATTGATTACTACGTGTACACCAGTTAAATGCTAAAATATAGACGATATTCAAAGAATGACAATACTATCTAATGTGCACAGTTATTTTGACTTATGAATACTGCTTAAATCATATTTCCACTGTGTAGAAATGACCTACAACGCAGATTATTATTGGTAGTTGATCAAATAATAACTTATTTCTTTATTTTACACTGTAAACAAAAATATTACTATTGCATTGTATTTTAGATAAATTCAACACAACAGTAAACCGTTTACACCGAAGGTACTCAATACAAAAATACACGGGCTCAAGAAATTCACTATAAACATCTATTTATATAATTTTTACAACTGTAACCCTTAACTGATTTAAAACAAATTCATTTTATCCATTTATTCACTGTATTTCAAGTTTTTTCTTAACACTAAACGGACATGGCATAGATGAACACTTTAGAAATAAGGTCACAATGTTTAGGGATACAAGCATAGAAACACAGTAGAGAAGTGAGTTAGGTGATCTATAAGGAGACAGTTGGTTAGTTTTAAGTTCATCTGTGAAAGCCATTTACGAAAGCTCATTATAATTAGCCGTTGTTATAAATCTAAAACTAAAGCCACTGTTCTTAATCGCTTAGCCCTAATCCAAGTCAATAGTCGCTTCTGATGTCTTGGTTTGACCGAAAGGCACGATAGGCTAATTATTACTCTACTTACTTGTTTCTGTGTTTTCAATGGCGTACAGTTATTAGCTAAGTCGCTAGCTTTACACAAGTGTCATGCAGTCATAAAGACACAGGCGCATAAAATGCTAAACTCAGGTGTTTTTGAAGTCTTATTGTAACAATGAAATCAGTAATCCGTAATAATAAAGTGGAAAACAAATAGTAACACACTTCTGACAAATAAATTCTAACATTTCTTGATTTAGAAATCTACAGTCTGTCCCATAACAGATTCCGATGCGAAACTCTGACTACTATGTGTAAACAAGCATTCTCCAAAACCGAGAATTTGAAATATTTGCATCTAAAATGGGGCCTAGATAACTGTAAATTATTCGTTGTTCACTAGATGAGTGTTTCAGAATTTAGTACTGACTCACACGAGAGATTTCAAAATCTGTTGTCACTTTGGGGTTGGCTTTGTGTTGTTTAATCAGACAACATGACATTTTTCTAAGGCTGGTCTCTCGGTTATTTAGGAACAAATAATCATATGTGCGTCGGTGGCACAGTGGTTAGGACTCTCGCTGACCATGCACACGGTCCGAGGTTTGATCCGCTGCCGATGCACACCTTATATCTATAGTCGGCCTGCAAAATTTGGGCTACCGATATCCATGTTGAAAATTCCATACTTTTACCAAAAAAACTGGGGAACCAAGCTGTGATCAAAAATATAAATTGAATATTCGAATCAGTTGTGTCAACTCAGTAGAAACTGGAACACCATGATGATGCCACCAATGACGGTCAATGGATATGGGAAACATAAGATATACAGTCGTAAGGGTAAACTGGACTGAATTCTATTAAACAGTATATAGAGACCATATACTACACTGCCAAATGCACTGAACAACACTGTAATGAATGAGGCACCAAACTGTTTAGAAATGCACAGTAAACCTAACAACATGGTGTTGCGAGAGAGATTAGTGACCTATAGTTCAGTTTGTAAGCCCAAATTTCAGCATTAACTCGGAAGTTCCCGTAATACGCATTTTTACATCCTCCTATAAGCACTTTATCTGGTTAGTTAAAGCGTAAAGGATGGAGTATTATCATAATCCCGTATATTGATCTCCTATAATCATACTCATATGTGAAGAGTCACATACGGTCACTAATATTCTGACTAGTGTTAGAGGTAGGAATCTTAGGTGGCGATTTTTCAATGTATAGTAAGGAAGGAAATGCAACTGTCTAAGTTGCTACACTTCATAAATAACACAAACGTACAGTAAGAGAGAGAAAAGGAAGCAAAATACGAAGGAGCCATAGTGAGAGGAATTATGTGGGACGAAGACTAAGAATAATGGAAATTTGATGAATGTCGTAGTTCATATAGTGACAGCATCTAATCATCTACAAAGTCTTCCAACCACATCACCAAGCCTTTAGTCATTGGTTTTTGGCCTCTCAAACACTCCAGCCAGGAAATTATCACCGCCCTACATGGCCCACACCAAAAGTTAGAGACTTCATGGATTGAAAACTTGAGACTACCGCCCTTAATACTTTTCCAACCTAATGCTGTGTTAGGTAAAATGCCCGAAGAAGAATGTGGTAGATTGGCAGGAGGAACAAGAGTTCTAGGTACTTCAATCGATACATGTAGACAAATAACCTCACCAAATACACGTTCCCCCTCATCTAGGACTACCACTAAACCCAGTGTTAGTCGCTGCATTATACCACTTACTACGGTGAGTAGATGAAATCAATGTGGCATTCTATTTCGAACCCTTCCATTGAATTTCTTCGCCATTAGACCAAAAACCCAGCTAGCATTTTTTCGGGCGCACTGCAGACTTTTGGGCGGACTTGGGCAAATTGCAGACTTTCAGGGACAGACTTAGGGCGCATTGCAGACTTTTTGAGGCAGAATTTGAGCACATTGCAAATTCCGAGGAAGAGTTAGGGTGCATTGCAGACTTTTTGGGGCAAACTTCGGGACACTGTCCCACGTAAGTAGATCTAGTAGTAGGCAATATAATACGCGCGCTCCTTGAATAAGACGTGCTTTTCCTCCCTAACCGGAAA